CCTTTAAATCTGAAACCTACTTATTATTATATGATTAAATATGATTAACAATATATCTAGAATTTATTCACTTTATGTTGTCTTATTTCAAAAAAAACCAAGTATCTCTTTCTAATTTTATTATGATGCCTCAAGAAAGTTCTTAGTAATTGAACTTTTTTTTTCCAAAACTAGCATAATGATTCGAATTATCGTGCATGTGCGTCCCGAAATAATGCACAAGGGCTCGAAATAACGCACCCCTGTGCATTATTACGCGCTTATATGGTATGTGAATTTTCAAAAATTAACGTCTGATTTTTATGGGGTTGAAAATATATAAGTTTTACGATGATATTATAAAATCTCACAAATTTAATTTTTACGTTTGCAGAAACTAGATGATAATGTGAAAGATCAAAGTCTGTTGAACTTTTATTTTTACACGTGAAATTTTATCTCTGAATTGTTTAAGCAAATAGGAGAAAACACATCAAAGATAAAAATATAGTTAAAAAACTTGTGCAAGAAAATGCTCACCTTATGAGCAACATGCGTGAGTTGAAAAAAAAGCAAACGGGCCTATTAAATGAGATAGTATCTTTAAAAAGTACAAGGGCAGAACTGAAGAAAAGATAGTAAATATTATGTAGCATATTATATTTACAATTAAGTCAATGTTTTTATGGCTTTAACTTAATTAAAATAATTTGGTTGCTAAAAACCAAAACAATTTATTATACTGTATTTTTGTATATTTAATAACTTTGCATTTAAAAAAACAATAATGTCATGTAATATATATATCTAAGAACTATGTGCGAACAGCATACGCAAAATAAAAGTATTACTCCCACAGTCATGAAAACTCATATTTTTAACATTAAAATAAATTGTTAATTCGAAAAAAATTAAGAATATAAGCTGTACCTTATTTTTCACACGAAAAAGAAAATAATTGGTAAAAATGTATAGAACACTCGTAATAACGATAATTTATTAACTGTACGAGGTTTTTAGAGGCTTAGACAATGATAATAAATTTTAATTGGTTTTTTTTTTATTTAATAATCTCTATATAATAACAGATCATTTTATTATTTAAAATGATTGTCTAGATAAACTTACAGTACAAAGCATATTAAAATATGACTATGTATAATTCCCAAAATTCATGTGCTTGCTATCACTAGTTCTGATAATAATAGACAGGTTTGAATATTTGTTTAGAGTTAGATGCGATCCGGATATCCTCTAATTTAATTTTATAACAAAATTATAAAGAAGCTTTAAATAGAAAAAAATACGAGTAATAAACTAATAATTTGAATGGTGTCTACAATAATAAATGGATATCATTGAATGAAATAAGAATAGCGAATAAGCACTATTTATTTTCTATAATGGTGGGAGTAAGAGGTAAATTCCCGGTTATATGAGGGCCTTATTTAGCTGGAGATCTACCAGCTTATTTCCTCGCAGTGGAAAATAAGGGTGTAATTCTTCATTTTGAATGTTATGATGGCGGATCATATAAATTGTTTTTTTTTTATCTACAAATTCAGTATAGTATGTTCTTAAAATAGATATTTATACCCTCTTACCATATAATTTGGTCCAGAACTTCTGTAATTTTCTTATTTTAAAAATCATTTCATATGATCTGTTGTATGGATTTGTCATCCTGATAAAACCAGTAAATACCGTAAACATATTCAAATTTATGTTTTGGAGAATAATCAGATTTCTCCCACAGCCATAAAGCTCATTTTTAACGTGGTAATTCAAAATAAATTAATAAGAATATAAGTTGTATCTTATTTTTTACATGAAAAAATTATTGGTAAAAATGTTTAGAACACTCATGATAAACGAAAATTTATTATAAGAATATACTGTATGAGATTTTTTTTAGAGGCTTAGACAATAATAATAAATTTAATTGGTTTTTTTTTAATCTCTATATATTTTATTACGATAACAGGCCTTTTCTAATATTTTTAATTATTTAAAATGATTGCCTAGATATACTTACAGTATAAGGTACATTAAAACATACCTACAAAATCATTAGCATGATTCACAGAATTCATGAGCATGCCATCACTAGTTTTAATAATAAACAGACAGGTTTGGATATTTGTTTAGAATTAGAGATGTATCTGGATATCCTCTAATTTAGTTTTATAAAGATCACATCTCTAGTTTAGAGGTAGCTTTTATGTAATAAAACAAGTAATAAACCAATAATTAAATAGAGTCTATATATTAAACGGGTAATAATATATAATATATACATAATTTATATTTAATTAGTCTAAGTCTCAAAAAGGCAAAATTTAATTGTAAATTTTTTTGTGATACCTAGTTGGAACCAGTTTTATTTTTTATATGTATACAAAACCCAAAATACTCGGAAATTTTACTGTTCGTTATACACATAGTATGTATTCTGGGTCATAGCTCTATAAAAATAAAATTTTAATTTTATAATTTAAAAAAAAATTTAAAATAAAAATCTGCGCGGGCGGGTCATTTTTTTTTGTTTTATGTTATGAGAACCAAAAAATTAACTTTATATGGCCTTATAATGTCCATTAACAGATTTCTTTCAAATGCATTACGAGGCAAGATGGATGTTTTTACAAAAGTGAGGCCAAGCTATATAAAAAAATTCGGCAACTTTTATTTTTAAAATAAACATATTTGAAATAATCTATTTTTAAAATAACCCGGTTTTAAAAAAATTCAATAAACCGCTTTTAAAATAAATCTGTCTTTGAAATAAACTGTCTTTAAAATAAACTTGTCTTTGAAATAAACTGTCTTTGAAATAAACTGACTTTGAAATAAACGTCTATTACTTAATTGTCTATGAAATAAATTTGTTTACAAAATGAACTGTCTATGAAATAAACCATCTATAAAATAATTGTCCTTAAATAAACTTGTCTGTGAACTGATTGTCTGTGAAATAAACATCTACGAAGTGATACGGACCCATCTAATCATACTTTTGTACCCAGAAAAAATATAATAAAACATATTCTTATCCATACAATATATTCCCCCACAGGTAGACTAGGTAATAAACAAACTAAAAGAATGTTCAGTGCATACTTAAAGCAGCACTCTCTTTTGTATCCCAGCTCCATGCATTTAATTATATTTTCGTTCTCTTGCTATTTGAGAACTATTCTGTGGTCTCAGTAGACCATCAAGCATATAAATTTCTTGAAGAATAAACTAAGTTTTCTTCGTTTAATGTTAATTTATATGAATCTTGAACAGTGTACAACTGTTCATAATTTACCCTTTTAGGTAAACGTTGGATATTTAATAAGAATATCCATGCAATGATCTATATTAATTGAAAACTATTCTGTGGTCTTGGTAGGCCATCAGAATGCACAAATTTTTTGAAGTCTTCAACATTTAATGTCAATTCGTATGGATCTTGAACAGTGTGCAACTGTTCATAATTTATCCTTTTAGATAAACATCAAATATTCAATAAGAATATTCATGTAATAATCCATACTAGTTGAAACCTATTCCGCAGTCTTGGTAGGCCATCGAACGTGGGATTTTTGAAGGATAAATTAAGTCTTCGACTTTTAAAGTCAATTTATATGGATCTTGAACAGTATACAACTGTTCATAATTTACCTTTTTAGGTAAATGTCAGATATTCAATAAGAACATCTACACAATGATCCATACTAATTCTAACACCGAGTCATGAAAATCTTGTTGACCAAGTCGTGTGGACAAAGGTATCTTTGTTATCTTTATTGATGAAGCCTAATAAAAATTATAAAAGATATTAGCATTAAATTAATTATGCTGCCAAAAAAATTAAGATCACTATTACCTTCTTTGCAATTAATGTTATAGATAGTAATGAACACAAACTCTGATTCTACCGGTTTATTTTTGAATCTGCTAACATTAATATCAATTATCCTTCTGGTTTGACTCCGTAGGATGAAGATAGTGCTCTTACAGACCGGACCCGAACCAGACTTTTATATTCAGACTTTTTAGCAAGTCTGAGTTTGGTCCGGGTCTGGTCCGAAGTCTGCAGACTAGTCAGAGTCTGAATATATTTCTGTTGCAGCAGATTATTTATATCTTGCAAAATGTTTCCGTTGTGTAAATCTCTGTGAACGAGTTTCTGCGAATGCATCGACTCGAGATCCAAAGCTATACAGTACAAAATATTCAATTCATCCTTCCATACTCGTACAAGATCTTTTCGTAACGAACCTTCTATTACAAACTTCATGACAATAATATATTCACCATGATTGTTTCTTGACACTCCTAAACAGTTCAGGAACGAAGGATTCTTGTAACAATTTTCACAATAATTCTTGATTGAATTACGAATCACTTTAAGTGCAACATCTCCGGATCTACCATTAATTATATCTAACCAACGTGCTCAATATACAGTTGCGAATCCACCTTTTCCTGTTCATTGATATCTCTGAACTCATCATAATCAACCTAAGATAATTTAAACCTCTCATCGTCTAATATTCAGAATTGATATGATTTGGTGATTTATTAGTTTTCAAAAGACTTCTATATTTTGTGAACCAATAATTTGCCTTCTGAATATCTCTCTTTGTACCGATACCATTACGATAACATCGAGCAACATTACTCATTGCTACTTTATAACCTCTATCAGCAGATTTTTCATGGTATTCAAATGCTTTATTATAATCTTGATCAACCCCTATTCCACTTTCATAAAGTAGACCAAGATTACCTATTCCGATAACATTACTCAAATCAGCAGATTTCTGGAAATTTATTTCTACTCAAATTCCATGGCGATAACAAAGACCACCTAACTCAGCTCCTTTCATATAATACTCAAAAGCTTTCTCTTCGTCTTTTTTAACATATTGATAATCGTAACCAAAGATTAATCAAGAGTACATTACCTATAAAAACGTTAATTAAAATTGAATGAAAAAAATTTTTATGATAATGATCCTGATTAAAGCTCATAAAAATATCATACCATAGATCTCCTGTTTTATATCATGTAGATTTTCTTCATTCAATTCAAAGTAAATTGAAATAGCCGTGGACTTTATTGTAATACATCGATCTTGTTCGTAAAAACGAACATCAGTATAACGAGTTTCACCAGCTTTCGCAGAAGCGATAATACCAGCTTTAGATATCAGGGAATCGGTGATGACCGATATGTTACGCACGTTAGAAACGCGGTCCACCTAATTGATGAATATAAATTTTGGGTTTACTGCTTTTAATTTTCTTAATTTTCTTGATTTTCGTCAAAATTATATACCGTATAGATCCGAAATAACGCACAGGGGCGTTATTTCGAATCTCGGCCAGAATTAAGCTTAATTTAGGCCGAAATTTGAAATTACACCCCTGCGCGTTATTTCGGTGTATTCATTATATGCAGAAAAAACAGTTTACTTACAAGGGCACGAATTTGTTCTACTGTAAAATTCACCTATTATTCATTTGTAAAAGAAATAAGAATTTAAATTTTTAGTAAGGACTATAATACACGCAAAAAAAGTCTTTGGCTCATTTTATACCTTTTTATTTTTTAATGTAGTCTACATTACAGCCGCAGTTAACTGGTATCGTAACACTCCAAATATTAATACTTGTTCAGAGCATAACGGTCATTTACAGCTGTTTTCATAAATTCTGGGAAAATTATTTCGGCCGAATTCGATAAGTTTTTGAATTCGGTGTTATTGGAATTTGATTTAAAAACTTATCGAACTTATCAAATTAGGCTGATCGATTTTTATCAGAATTTATGAAAACAGCTGTAAAGTGGTACAAAAGATATAGCTTATCGGACCGCCGGGTAAGGACGGGTCCAAGCACTAGGTCCGAAGTTTGCAGTCCGGTCTGGTATGGTTTTTTATGACTTAGCTCACATGATGAGCTAAGCCACAAAAAAATACCAGACCGAACCGGTCATTTTTGCAAACTTCAGACCGAACTTCAAACCAGCAAATATATTCGGACTCGAACTAGTTTGCAAACTTTGGACCGGACTCATAATTAAGTTTGAGTCTGGTCTGAAGTTCGAAACTAGTAAAATTTAGAGTCTGAGTCTGGTTCAATCCCGGACCGGACCCGGACCGGACCTAGGAGCACTAGATGAAGCTTTCATTATTAATTTTATTATTCAAATTTTAATAGAAATACAAGATTAACTAATAAAAAAACATAATCGCGAAACCATTAGTTCTATTTGTCCTCGCAACCTCTAGCTAAAGAAATGAAGCTGTACTTCTTTATCTTCTCTGATTTTCTTTGCCATATGGTTCACGTCACTTATAGTCATCGAAGAAAATTCATATAAATTCAAATAGCTTCTTGTCTTTTAATTTAAGTAAATTCGATGCCGCTCTTTCAGATTTATGGCTTATTTTTTTTCTGTAATTTGTTATTTTGTAAAGTATTAAAGGTTAAAGTTAATTAATTTCTCAAATTTCGGAATAAATATGAAAATTTCTTACAATAATAAGCAAGACATGTGACCAAATCTGATAAAAATTTCAGAATGATCTACATTTTTTGAGGAGTATAGGTGACGTATTTAGAGTCTGAGTCCCGGACCGGACCTAGGAGCACTAGATGAAGCTTTTCATTATTAATTTTATTATTCAAATTTTAATAGAAATTAATAAAAAAATATAATCGCGAAACCATTAGTTCTAAAGAAAATGAAACTGTACTTCTTTATCTTCTCTGTTTTTCTTTGCCATAGGTTTTGCATCGAAAGTATCATAACTTGTAATTTCATCATATATGACTCCTCCTGAGAAAATACAAAGTCACAAACATTAGAGATAATATTAACTAATATTGCCGATTATCAACTACTAGCTAAAAATATCTTACCTTTTCTTGGTTATCTCAGTTTTTCTCTTTGATAGATTAATATTGTATTATTAATTCCAACCACTTCGCTATCTTTAATTTTGTGTAAATTAATTGAAGGACACTGGCTGTCTTACACGTATTCTCCCATCGTCTTGCAGCATTTAGAATCATCCTAGATTAATTTTATATATTAGCCGACTTTAGAGCTGTCAGTGTTACAAAAATTTTGTGTTCAGTCTTTCTTTGTAATATTTTCTATTGTATGGAATGGCTGTGCTTGGGTTTGAAACCATAGATCTGGGTTTGGGACCACAGATCGTGGTCTGAGGCCATAGATAAGGGAGACCCCCAATAAGGGTCTGAAGCCCTAGATTTGGGTCTCGAACCACTTGGTTTTTGAAAAGTATAAATATAACGCTTATATTAATAAAGAATATAATGATGATGTTATATTAGATTCTTTTGCTTCGATTAAATGACTAAATAAATAAATACATTCCTTAATAACCCATTATCATTAATTAATTCCGAATCCTTTATAAACATTCATCTCGCATAACCTATGTTTGTAACCCTGAGCTAATTTACCTCATGTTAGCCAAGTCTCTCCCACGGTTGCGACATTTTGAAGTAATAAGTATTAGTTAGTAAGAGTAATATAGTAAGTTGGAGTACTATATTATTAGCGTAGAATTAAAGGTATAAGATACTTAAAGTGCATTGTTAGAATCTCGTGACTTCCGCAGCAAGTTCGAAGTTGATCGGACCAAACTCATCCTGCCTAGTGCCCGTTGTGCCAGTTGTGTGGATGAATGTCTTTCCCACGCCTTCTTCGTAGTGAAAAAGACCCTTGCCCAAGCCCGGAGCTTTGTGCCTATGATGCCCTAGGAAGAAGTTCAGAAAAGGCTCAACTTGTGACTAACTTATCTGACACCCGATCAGAAACTCCGTAGAGAAAGAAGCCCAAAAGACATGATTATCAAGAAAGAAGACTGAAAATTTTACTGGATTTGAATTGGGTATATCAATCTTGAAGGACCAGTAAACCGTGGAATTAGGCCTGGTGAGTAGGTACTACACAAGGTGAAGAGATGGTTATACCGAACTCATACGTAAATCGGTCAGCATACAGAGATAAAAATAAAAAATAAAATTTGATCTGCCTTTGAATCCGAATTGCCATCAAATCGCATTGTCTTGGAGACGAAGTTACTCCGAAGATTGATAAAGCTTGAGAGACGGACGTGATGGATGAAAGGACGATCACGAGCGGGGTGGGGCACATAACAACACGAAGATTATCATTCTGAGAAAATAACTCTTCAGATAAAGGCCCCCAAGTGAATATTGACGAACATAATAGAAGATCGTATTCGCGGTTGTTGAACAAAGAAGGATCTGAAAATAACGAAAGAGGAATCAGCAAAGAAAAGGAAGATGATACTGATCCTAGCAGTGAAGCTCAAAACATCGATGCTCTAGGTATTCGAGGTGTAGAAAAAAATAAAAATATAAAATTCAGTAGTCAATATAATCCGAATAGAAAAGAGCAAACGAAATCAAAGACAATCTAAGAGTTCTGATAAAAGAAACTACAAGTAGCGAATACAATGGTGACGAAAAAAAAAAAAGCTTAAAAGGCTAGCAGAGTGAAATGTCAGACCTTGAACACTGCAATTGGAATAGGATTGGTACCGAAGAGAATACGCACAAGGCATTCGATCATTATCAAAAACCTGCCACGATGAACTACCGTATTTCTGCGACATGTGTACCCCCTGTGGTCTGTACCCTGCGGCGATTTTGGATGCCAAATCTTGATTTATACCCGGGTATATAAGTGTGAGGGTATCCTACTTATATATCCGGGCATGTAATAGTAATAGTAAAACATATTAAAAACAGAAGTATTCATACGGTATATCCCCCTCATATGAGTACCCGGGTACACATGTCGCAGAAATACGGTATGCTATTTGTTATCAAAATGGAATCGGTGTCAAAAATAAAGCAGTAATTCGAAGTCCAAAAGCCAATATTGATAAAGCCTACAAATCGAGTTGTCTCTATAATGACTAGAGGTGCAGGTGAATCGTCCCAATGTTGCCGTAACTTTTCCGTAACGTACCGTAACTATTGTAAAAAGTTACAGCAAACATGCCGTAACTTTTTATAATTATTTAATATAGTTACGGCACGTTACAGAAAAGTTACGGCATCATTGGGACGATTCACCTGCACTTCTAATCATGACCCTTGAATCGGAGACCATTATCAATATGGCATTGGTAATAGAAGAGACAAATACTGAATACCCATAAATTACAAGAAAATCTGCTGATGCTGGTGATGCCAATGGAACGTTGTTGGGCCCTGTCGCCAAAACGAAATGAAGTTGAAACGAACGCATATATGGAATTCAGTTACTACCAAAGTCCGCCGATCTAAGTAATACTGGCAGGACACCAAGGTTGGATATCATTGCGAAGATGGAATCGACCTCGAAAAGAATGAAGCCCAATCGAGAGGATGTGATGATGATCTTGGATGGTCACGACGGTCTTGCTCGAGGTTTGGGGCGCCTGACGAAAATGAAAATTATGAAGAAAAAAATGATCGTGCATCAAGTTAAAGGACGTGGTAAGCCGAATTACAATTTCAATTACAAGTATGTAAAGGTTTAAGACCACATGTTTACGAAAATACAGCAAGATGGTCACGACTAGGAAGGGGCACATGACCTGCGAAGTATAAATTGAGTTGAGAAGTTAAATGAAAGAAGGCCTTATTTAAGATAGGAAGGATTTTTGGAAGTTTTAATATGAAGCAATGAAGAGCCATTCCGATTCAAGATTGATTTGTATATAAAAAATCTCAAGCACATTAACTTCGAGCAAGGAAAAAGTGAGAAAAAGCAAAACAACACCTTAACAAATATTGCCCCAAGGCGAGTAATTTCTTTTTTCGTTGGAAATGTGTGGTGGGGTTCCTTTAGCTTCTTTGTCACAACTGACGCTGAGGGCACACCCTGTGTTATAGTCTCTTACATACGTACAAGGATAATACTGTCACGGGTTCCGTGACACGGGGTTTAGAGAGGCGTAGTAGATTGTTTATTTATTATCATCTAGTATTTATTTATT